GGGAGCACGAGGTGGCGCCGATATAGACATCGATGTAACGGAGGAAGAGGTTGGGGATAGAGCCAGTGTAGCTTCAGAAGAGGGATTGTTCCATGTATCCTAATGTTCAAGGATTCAGGCTCTTGGCTCATTGGGATCTCTTTTGGGATAGAAAAGCCCTCTTCAGATAGAATGGGTTTCACCTGTACTGGAAAGGGAGCAACATCCTTGCAGGAATATTTACTAATTCTATTAAAGGAAACTGAAAACTTGATGTGGGGGTGTCGGGTGGAGGGATCCTAAGTAGCAGAGTAAATAGAAAGATAGGTGAAGATGGTTTTGAGACTGAAAAGAACCAGTTAATCAGAAAAGACAACAAGGTGTAGAGCTGGATGAACATAGCAGGCCAAGCAGCATCAGAGGAGCAGGAAGGCTGACGTTTCGGGCCTAGACCCTTCTTCAGAAATAGGGGAGGGGAAGGGGGTTCTGAAATAAATACGGAGAGAGGGGGAGGTGGATAGAAGATGGATAGAGGAGAAGATAGGTGGAGAGCAGACAGACAGGTCAAAGAGGCGGGGATGGAGCCAGTAAAAGTGAGTGTAGGTGGGGAAGTAGGGAGGAGATAGGTCAGTCCAGGGAGGACCTATCTTCTCCTCTATCCATCTTCTATCCGCCTCCCCCTCGCTCCCTATTTATTTCAGAACCCCCTTCCCCTCCCCTATTTCTGAAGAAGGGTCTCGGCCCGAAACGTCAGCCTTCCTTCTCCTCTGATGCTGCTTGGCCTGCTGTGTTCATCCAGCTCTACACCTTGTTATCTCAGACTCTCCAGCATCTGCAGTTCCTACTATCTCTAATTAGAAAAGACAGATGAGAGTGAGTCAGGGAATGAAGTAACTCTGAAGAATTAAACTGCATTTTTTTCAATGCAAGGGGTAAGGCTGATGAACTCAGGGCATGTTTAGGAACACGGGATTGGGATGTCATAGCTATTATAGAAACTTGGCTGAGGATGGACAGACCGGCAGCTCAATGTGCCATGTTTCAGATGGTATAGGAAGGGTACAAAGGGAGGCAAAAGAGAAGGGGAACTAGTGTTTTTGATGAAAGAAAAGATTACTGCTGTAACTAGAGAAGGTATTTCTGAAAAATCGTCCCGTGAAAATATATGTGTTGAAAGTAGAAATAAAAAAAGAAATGATCAACTCATTGGGATTGTACTGTGGACCCCTCAGTAGTCAGAGGAAAATCGAAGAACGCCTAGAGGTCTTAAATATATGTAAGAATAATAAGGTTGTAACAGTAGATGATTTTAATTGTCCAAACAATGGCTGAGAGTATCCACAGTATGAAAGGTTTGGATGGTGAAGAATTTGTTAAATGTGTCCAAGAACATTTTCTTCATCAATATGTAAATGTTTCTACTGGAGAAGGAGCAAAACTTGACCTTTTCTCTGGTAATAAGACAGAGCAAGTGACTGAAGTGATAGTAGGGGAATACTTTTGGTCTAGTGATCTTAATTCTATTTGCTTTAAAATAGTTATGGAAAAAGATAAGACTTCCATAAAAATTAAAGTTTTTAGTTGGAGTAAGGCAAATTTTAATGGTATGAGACAAGAGCTTCCAAAAATTGATTGGAGTAGACTGTTCGCAGATAAAGGGACATCCGATAATTAGAATGCTTTCAAAAGTGTGATTACGAGAGTTCAGAGGTATTACTTTCCTGTTAGAGTGAAAGATAAGGCTGCTAGGAGTAGAGAACATTGGACAAATAAAGATATTGAGGTTCTAGTCAAGAATAAAAAAGAATTATATATTAGGTATAGACAACTGGTATCAAATGAATGTCTTGCACAGTATAAACTGTGTAGTGGCATTCTTAAGAGGGAGATCAAGAAGGCAAAGGGAGATAGCCTTGGAAAATAAGGTTAAGGATAATCCAAAGAGATTCTACAAGTGCATTAAGAGCAAGAGGGCAACTAGAAAGAGAATAGGGCCCCTTAAAGATCAAACAGATCATCTTTGTGCTGAACCTCGGGAGATGGGAGAGATATTAAATTAATATTTTGTGTCAGTTTTTACTGTCAAGAAAGAAATGGAAGCCAGGCAACTCAGGGAAATAAATATTAACATTTTGAAAACAGTTCACATCACAGAAGAGGAAGTGCTGGGGTCTTAGAAAATATAAAGTTGGATAAATCTCCCGGACCTGATTTAACATATCCCTGGATTCTGTGAGAAGTTAGGGAGGAAATTATGGAGCCCATTGCAGAAATATTTGTATCATGTATAACTATGGTTGAGGTGTGAGTTGACTGGAGAATGGATAATGTGCCTTTGTTTAAGAAGGGATGTAAGGAGAAGCCTGCGAACTGTAGACCTGTGAATCTGACTTCGGTGGTGGGTAACATGTTGGAAGTGATTCTGAAAGGTAGGATTTATACGCATTTGGAGAGGCAAGGAATAATCAGGGTTGCTCAGCATTTTTTTTGTGGGGGAAATTGTGTCTCAGAAACTTGATTGAGTTTTTTGAGAAAGTAACAAAGAAGATTGATGAGGGCATTGTTTAATGGAACTTTAGTAAAGCCTCTGACAAGGTTCCACGTGGCAGACTAATATGAGTAATGTTAGATCACATGATTCAGGGTGAGCGGGCCCATTGAATACAAAATTGGCTAAATGTCAGAAGACAGAGAATGATAGTGGAGGGTTATTGTTTGTACTGGAAACCTGTGACCAGCGGTGTTTCATGGGGATTGGTGCTGTGTCCACTTCTGTTTGGCATTTATAAAAATGATTTAGATGAGAACATAGAAGGCATGGTTCGTAAGTTTGCGAATGACACCAAGATTGGTGGTATAGTGGACAATGAAGTAGGTTATATAAGATTACAAAGAGATCTTGATCAATTGGGTCAATGAGCTGAAGAGTGGCAGATGGAATTTAATTTGGATAAATGCGAGGTACTGCATTTGGTAAAACAAATAAAGGACTTATATAATTAAATGTAGGGCCTTGGGTAGTGTTGTCGAACAGAGGGACCGGGGGGTTCAGATACATAATTCTTTGAAATTTGCATTACATATAGATAGAGTAGATAAGAAGGAGTTTAGCACTCTTGCCTTCATTGCTCTGACCTTTGAGTATAGCAATTGGGACGTTATCTTGAGGTTGTACAGGACTTTGGTGGGTCCACTTCTCAATTACTGTGTGCAGTTTTGGTCACTCTGTTAATAGGAAGGATATTTTAAATTGGAGAGGGTTCAGAAAAGATTTAACGGGATGTTTTCGGGAATGGAATGTTTGAGTTATGAAGATAGGCTGGGAGTTTTTTCACTGGAGCTTGGGATGGTGACGAGTGACTTTCAAGATACGTGTGACCTGTTGTGTTACACCTGGAGAATGAAAATGAAATATAAAGATCTTGTAATGTTAGTGGGCAAATCAAGATGAAGATATAATGGAAAAGTAGAAGAAAGAGGATGCAGATTGGAGATGGGAGAGAGAGAGCAATGGAAAAGGGAATGAAGAGAGACCAAACAAGAAGGCAAGAGAAAGTGTTGATGCAGGGAATAGCAGTAGATTGGCAAAGAGGGATAGGCTAAATTGTAAGTATGAAGAGGAGGATGGTAACAGAAAGAGGAAGGGATAGAGTAAGGAAGTAGATAGTAGGAATAGATCAAGAAAAATAGAGGGAAGTGAGGGATTGGCAAAGGAAGGAAAAGGACAAGGTGGGATACAGAGAATGATTTCTTAGTTTCTTAGTGTTGAGGAGCAAGAAACGCAGATACATTTTATCCATTTTATCTGTACATTTTTAGCCACCAGTTAAGCCAAGAGCTATTACACCTCCTTTTGATCTGGCACATTGGGTGTTCGACATAATCCAGGCTAAGGAGAGACAGGTTCTAATTGTGCCCACTCCCATCCCGGTGCCGAGGGAGGTATTGTCTGAAACAGAGCCCTACAGACAATGGAAAATTCAGGCCAAGAGTGTATCTGTAGAGATGCAGACCTCCAGCAGTTCCGCATCAAGCATGGCTAATCAGGATCACAGGACCCTCCTACTCTTACTGCCTGTAATAAACACAGTAGAAGGATTTACAGGTTGACAATCAACATGTTTAGCCATGTTTTGACACACCTTCTGTGGTCATCAACTCCTGGACTGGAACTCAAAACTGGAACCTTTGGTTTGAAGGCCAAGGATACTATCCATTATACCACGATACCTCTGTCTGTGCAACTTCTAATAAAATGCATATCCCTTATTAAGAATCAATATTAAAACTCTGAACAGTATGGTATTTTATTTTCAAATCCAGAATGCAGTAGGACACAGGCTAAACTACTCAATGAAAACCCATTGGGTTGTTATGGATCAGACCAAACCACCTCAAAATATATTTAGAAGATAGCTTGGACCCCACTTTTTCTTATTTTAAAGGTAAGTGTAGGGCACTGTGTTCCAGATGCAATTCGATTGGTCAAATTATTCAACTTTAAGCAAAACATACTTTATTTTTACACTACAGTTAAAATACAGACAAAATAAAAATAAAGAATCGGCTTCTTTGTATCTCTATCAAAATGCTTAACAAAATAATATATATTAGCTACTACTAACTAACTGTTCTAATATCATAACATCCCATAAACTCACCATTGGCAAAGGCAAATTTTAGCAGCAAGAAGAAAATCCCAGCTTTTAACTGTAACAGAGAGAGGAATAAGAGCTTCTATATCCAGCTTCAAGACCCCAACAACTGCAGAAAGCTAAAACTAAAAATTCTGGTTCTGTGGGAGCTTAACCCCACAAATTCAAGCTGCTTCTATTGTTCCAAATTTTAAACAAAAACCCAAGTCTCACAAGCAGTTTACTTTATTGGCTTCAGGCAGACCATTTGGTACCTCTGTCTCAATCTCTCTTCATTAAGAAAACCAGGACAAACACACCTCTTAAATCCATCATATCATCACAGGATTAAGTAGTGAAGAAAATAAAGCATTTGGTATAAGATACCTTCTGAATAACATAGATTGTTTTTCTCTTCTTCGTTGACAGACCGACTTTGCTTCAATTTCCAACTTGGTTCATCCACCTCTGAGGTAACTGATGACCATCCACAATCCTCCTCTTCAAAGGAACAGTATGAGCCGATGGGAAGGTTATCTACAGAAAGTAGAAAATCTGGATGATATTTTCCAGTTGTTGCGTAAGAAAACAACCAGAGCAAGAAATAGAAGCTGCTTTTGTGGTACACGCAAAACAAATTAAACAAACGACTGAAGACCACAATTTCACAAGTTGTTCATCTTCAGCAATTTGTTTTTCAGTGTCATGCTCAGACAGTAGATTTGAGTTAGAAATTACACATGCTGATGTTTATATTGTTTAATTTAGTTTTTGCTGAATCTCTTATTGGTGCTGGGTGGATGTAAAGTAGTTTCGGAGTTATAGATTAAAAGAAAGTAATGAGGAAAGGCCATTTCACTTAATGAACCTGTGAATGTAAATACAACATGATGGAAATGTATGGCAGATCACCCTGTATCTAGGGAATAAAAAAGGTTACCATTTGTAACAGGAACTTTCATCAGAACTGAGCACAAACCGATGAAGGATTACATTGAAAGTGCTAACATATTATTCTCTATCAGATACTCACTGACCTGCTGTAGGTTTCCGCCAGTTGCAGTTTTAATTTTAGATTTCTCACATTTGAAAGTTTTCATTCTATCTCTATGATCAATTCTGATCCAAGATATTCAGCCTCCTGAGAAAATGTGTATTTTTTTCTGGTGACCATTGCACAAAAAGAGATATGCAAACATTGCAAGGGTTACTGGGAAGAACAAGGCTCATCCCAAGCGTAAAGAGCATAAACTGGAAAAAAGGTTTTGTTAAACTCAAAGTTTACCAGTCTAGAAAGAAGCAGGATGATGGGCGGCTTCACTGCAATATTGAAAATATTTAAACATTCAAAGGTAAATCGAGAACACTGTCAGTCTAAGCTTGCAGTTGGAGCAAAAGACATGAATGGAGAATAGGAAATTTAAAGTAAATTCAAAGTCAATACAGGAAATTCATCTTTATTCCAAATTATAATTTTTTTGGTGAGGACTTAGGATAAGGTACCTGGGATAAAAACATATCACTTATGTTTATGTAGCATAAATCTGTCTGCAGGAATTGCCACTATTGTAATAGCCCATGTTCAAAATTTCAGTAATGATGACAAATGTTGTTAAACATTTTTAAACAAGCACTTCCATTTCAAAAATAAATATATTTTTGTAACCTCCCAAATAACAACATTGAGGACAATAACCTCTTAATTGTCTTCAATGATAATTTCAACAAAACAGCTTGAACTGTAATCTTTGTATGTAATCATGCAGGAATAATTTATTTTTCGGTTTCTCATGGAAAGCAGAAATCATCACTTAAAAGTAAAGTGCATTCTGTTATATTGTCATGTCATCCTACTTTTACAACATTAAATTCATGCACAGTTACTTACCTTGTCTAACCTTGTGTTGAGTTTTAAAACTATTAGTTAAAGGCAAGCTGACCTCACATTTCATGTTGAATTATTGACATTCATGGCTCAGTAATAGCACATTTGCTTCTGAGTCAGCAGGTTGTGTGTTTCAGCCTTACTCTAGAGACTAGATCACCTAATCTAAGGTGACAATTCAGTGTGTTCCTCAGCAAATATTACATTAATAAAAGTACTATCCTTTGGATGATATGTTAAACTGAGGTCATCTCAGGTGAATGGAAAAGAAGAACAATGGAGTCAAGCTGGTTAAAGGTTTAGAGGTGAAAAATAGACTCCTGATCTGATTGGGCACAATCTGCATGGATTTGCAAATGGAAAATCATGTATGCCAACTTTGACGTGCAAGATTGATGGAGGAGAACTGATGGGCATAGTATATTTGGATTTTCAGAATGTTTTTGATAAAGTTCCCCACAGGAGGATGGTTATAAAAATTAGTTCATTCTCCCTGTGTCTACATGGGTTTCCTCCAGGTGTTCTGGTTTCCTCCCATAGTCCAAAGATGTGTGGTTTAGACGGATTGGCCATGTTAAATTGCCCTGTAGTGTCCAGAAACGTGGGGGCTAGAGAGATTAGCTATGGTTAATGTGGGGTTATGAGGAGTGGATCTGTGTGAGATGCTCTTCAGAGGGTCAATGCAGACTTGATGGGATGAATGTCCTCTGTCTGTACTGTAGGAATTCTATGATTCTGTGATTCTAAAGCACATGGGATAGGAGAAAATGTACTGACATGGATTAATCATTCACGACCAGACAGAAAACAGAGAGTAGGAATAAATGTGTCACTCTCACACTGGCAGTGTTGCAAAGTTGGGTAGAGTACTTGTGGATTGGGAGGCAGGCAGTTAGAATTTGATGTCTGTAAAATGCTAGGGCGGAAAGCAGTGTGTGGTCCCTTTAAAAGTTGGTGTGCTTTTTCTATGCTTAGTGGTTTAAAAAGAACTTCTGTGAGCTGCTCCAAAGGTTGCAAGAGCACAGACAGCACCCGAATTGAAACATTTGTATCAAAAGGCCACACAGTTAGCAGGCCCAGCTGCAGTTTTACCAAGACAACAAGGTTTTGAATCTAGACAATCAACTTGAATCAGGCACTTACCACAAACCAATTAAATTTAAATGTGATAGTTTTGGCAATATTGGACCAATCCTATTGTAAGAAATTGATATGCCATCAAGGGTATAAAAGGAGAGGGCAGTTGGGCAAAGACAGGAGAACTAACTACCATCTGCCAGAGTTAACAGCTCTTAGCTCTCAAGAGAGAATCGCTGGCTCTCACAAACTCCTCTCGGTCTTAGAGAAAGCACCATCTAAAAATTAAAGGTACCAACTTCACAACAAGTTAATATTCCTGACAGAAGAGTCAACGGAGAAGGCATTCCTGACAGAACATTCGACGGAGAAGGCACAGAATATTTCAGAAGACACATAACCTGGCTATAATTTTGAAAGACTAATTTTTTTTTTATTATTTTATATAAGTGGCACTTACATTTATTGGAACAGCATACCATTAGAATCTTGTTTTATTTGGGAGTAGTTAGCAGTTAGATTGGGGTTATTTGGTTTGTTAATAGTTCAGTTAATTTGTTCACTGTTTGAGTTAGGTAAATAAATTGTTACTTGTTTATTGTAAAGTGAGTGTCAGGGGTTTATTTTATTTAACCACTAGAAGTTGTTGAAAAGCAGGTCACACCACTTTTCACATTTTTTTTTACAGATTATAGGATGAGGTGCTCCTCTTTGGGTGTTTTAGTTTTAGTTCTAAGAGGGATGGGGGGGGTCAAGCTTTGCTTTGTAACACTAACGTCCAGTGGGATACTCCAAGGGTCAGTACTTTGACCCAAGCTGTTCAGAATATAGATGAATGATTTGGATGTGGGGACCAAATGCAATATTTCCAAATTTGCAGATGATACAAAGCTAAGTGAGAATCTGCATTGTGAGGAGGATATAAAGCAGCTTCAGGAGGATTTAGACAGGCTTAGTGAATGTACATGAACATGGTAGATGGAATATAATGTGGAAAAATGTGAAGTTATCCACTTTGGTCGGACAGACAGATGTGCAGTGTGTTTCTTCAACATAAGAGATTGGAAAGTGTGGATTTACAAAAGGACCTAGGTGTTCTTGTGATAAGTCTTTGAAGGCTAACATGCAGGTGTAGCAAGCTGTTAGGAAGGCTATTGGAATGTTAGCCTTTATTGCACAAGGACTTGAGAACAGGAATAGTGAAGATTGCTTCAAATGTACAGGACTTGGTTAGATTGCACCTGGAATACTTTGTTTAGTTTTTGTCTCTTCATCTCAGGAAAGATATTATTGACAAAGAGGGTGTGTTACGGAGGGATGGCAGAAATGTCGTACAAAGAGAGATTGGGAAAAATAGATCTCTATTCTCTATGGTTTTAAAGAATGAGAGGTGATCTAATTGAAAGTTACAAAATACTTAAAGAAATAGACAGAGTAGGTGCAGGTAAGATGGTTGGTGAGTCTAGAACCTGGGAGTGCAATTTAAAAATAAAGGGGAAACCGTGCATGTCCAAGGTGAGGAGTCTTTTTACACAAAGGGTTGTGATAATTGGAATTCTCAGCCACGGAGAGCTGTGGAGGCTTAGTCTTTGAGTATGGTTCAGGCAGAAATTGATAGGTTTTTATTTATATGATGGGAGTTGGTAAAAGGCATTGAAGTGTTTGATAACACAGTGTGGAGCTGGAGGAACACAGCAGGCCAGGCAGCATCAGAGGAGCAGGAAAGCTGACAGCTTTACCTGCTGTTTCCTCCAGATCCACACTGTGTTATCTTTGACTCCAGCATCAGCAGTTCTTACCGTCTCTGAAGTGTTTGATAAGCTGTGATTGTATTGAATGGCAAGACAGGTTTGATATGCTGAATGGCCTACTCCTGCTCCTATGTTCTTATGAATAGATATTCCTTAACCAATGCTGTTGACTCGTTCTGCCAATTGATGTTTATGGGACCTTGATGCATACAAATGACACAATTTTAAAAATTCAGTCCTCACCACTCTAACCACCCTTGATTTTGCCAGGCAGATATCTATATTAGATAAATGAACCTAATCATTTGTCAGTACCAGAGTAATCAATTACAAAGACAGCTGTTATAACATACTGAGCGTGCCAAATATTTTGGACAGTTCTGACGCATGTACTGACCCTGCACATAACTGATTTAAAACCTCTTAATTTCAGCCAAAGTCCAATTTTAATCAGCAGTTTATATCCCCGTCTTTTGTGCTCTACTAATTTAAAAGGTTCTGCTTACTTCAGGCAAAGTTTCACTCAGCTGTTCATGTTAAACTGCAATTATCCTAGTGACGAATTCTTAATAGAACAACTACAAGAGGTAAACCTGTTGCTAAATAGAAATCAAATGATTTGTTTTTGAAATCTGTTGCATGTTTACATTATTTGATTTTAAAGAACTCAGGAACATGAGAAATAAGGGCAGAAGTTGGCCACTCAACTCATCGAGCCTGCTCTGCCATTCAACAAAATAAAGACTGATTTGCTGCAGACCTCAACTCTTCTTTTGTTGCAGCTCATCAGGTTCCGCAACTCTACAATGTTTCAAAATTCTGTT